GAGTGGCTGTTTACCCAAAGTCTTATCAGTATTGCGCATTATCATTCATTAAAAATGTTATCCAGCTTATTTTTGACAGATTTCTTGTTTTAATTTGTTGTTTGATCACTATTGAGGTGATGTGTCTTTTCTTTTTTTTAAAAGACAGGGTTTCACTCTGTTGCCCAAGCTGGGGTGCAGTGCAGTGATCATGGCTCACTATAGCCCCAATCTCCCGGGCTCCACTGATTCTCCCACCTCAGCCTCCTGAGTAGGTGGGACTAGATGTGCACACCATCATGCCTGGCTAATTTTTTTTTTCTTTTTGTAGAGACTGGGTTTTGCCATGTTACCCAGGCTGGTCTCAAACTCCCGGGCTCAAGTGATCCGCCCGTCTCAGCCTCCGAAAGTGCTGGGATTGCAGACGTGAGCTGCTGTGCCCAGCCTGAGGTCATATGTCTTTTACACAATATGTTTACTAGCCATTTGCATTTCCTCTTCTGTGTATTTTCCAGTTTTCGTGGGCTGTTCATTGTCCTACTTTACTGTGTGCTCTTTGTATATTAGTGATGCTAACCTTTTTATATATGTTGCATGTATTTTTCAGTCTGTTATTTGTTGGTTGCATATCAAAAGTCCTTCACTATACAGTCATTTCCAATCTTTTATATAGTTAATTTGTTAATACTTTTATTTATACTTTCTGAGATTTATGTCTTGCTTAGGAAGTCCCTTCCCCCACCAGGATAGTTTTTCCTAGTGTTTTCACTCTTTCCTTGACACACTGACACACACTCATCCGCCCACCTGTTTAGATCTGTAAGCATCTGGAATTGTGTATGGTAAGATACATGGTCGAATTTCCAGATACCATATTGTATGACCATCGTTGGTTGACTGCCCCCTGATTTGAAATGCTATTTTTTTTTTTTTTTTTTTTTGTGACGGAGTCTCGCTCTGTCTCCCAGGCTGGAGTGCAGTGGCGCGATCTTGGCTCACTGCAAGCTCCGCCTCCCGGGTTTACGCCATTCTCCTGCCTCAGCCTCCCGAGTAGCTGGGACTACAGGCGCCCGCCACCTCGCCCGGCTAGTTTTTTGTGTTTTTTAGTAGAGATGGGGTTTCACCGGGTTAGCCAGGATGGTCTCCATCTCCTGACCTGGTGATCCGCCCGTTTCAGCCTCCCAAAGTGCTGGGATTACAGGCTTGAGCCACCGCGCCCAGCTGAAATGCTATTTTTATCATAACTAAGTGCTCATAAATACATAAGCTTGATTTTGAACCATTCATTCTGTGTCCTTGATTTCTTTGTCTTAGTATGTCTTTTTCAACCCTATTGTCTTAATTCCTGTAGCTTCATTATATGTTTTTCTTATCAGTTAATGTGAGTTTCTTCACATTATTCCTTTTGGGAATTTTATTGGCTCTTCTTATGCCAATCAAGTTCCAGGTGAACTTAGGGTCAACATACCAAGTTTCAGAACACATAAGTATATCCCATTGGAATTTTGATTGGGTTTGCATTGAACTTGACGATTTCTAAAGTGACACCTGACAGCATTATAATTTTGAGTCTTAGATCCATGTATTCTATTTAGTCTGTTGTTTGAGTCTTCTTGCTTTCAGCTCCCAAATATCTCCTTGGTCATTGCTTTACTTTCACTGCCATCATCACCCCTACACTGGGCTTGTGAAGTAGTCCATTGAGTGGTCTCCTTATGACCACTCTTGGCCCCCCAGTCTCTTCTCCAGGATAATCCAGGCTTTGCATTAGCTGTTCCCTGGGCTTTGACTACTCCCCTGCTGGCCTCACTCTTCACTCAGTTCATTTCCCCTCATTCTTAGATCTTATCCCCATTGTCATTTCCTCAAGGAAACCTCCGTGACCTTCCTAACAAGGTACAATTCCCCATTTACGGTTTCAGGGCACCCTTTGCCTCTTCATCTGAGCACTCAGGGTAGCTGTAAGTTTACTTTGCTCTTCCTTGGAATGGGAGGCGAACTCTGTAAGCACAGGTGAACTCTCTAGGCATAGTTAAGCTCTGTAAGCACAGGTGCGCTCTCTTAAGCACAGGGCGGATCTGGAAGCCCAGGGGACTCTAAGCCCAGGCAGGCTGTCCAGCACAGGGGTCTGTGTAGGCACGGGGACTGTGTTTGGTGTTGCTCACATTTGTAATTCCCCTCCTCCCCCTGGCCCAGAGGAAGAGCTTCGTAAATGCAGGCTGGTGTCAGTGAGCTTGGTGTTTCCTCCTATTTATGTAAGTGTTCAAGTGAAGACTTGTAGTTTTCTTCATGAGGTCTTGTACAGTTCTTGTTAAGTTTATGCCATGTTATTTTCTTTTTGCTGGCAGAGAAGGGCTATGGATTTTTGAATGTTCCTGTATTTGGCCATCTTGCTTATCTCAGAGCTCTGTTTCCTGCCATTCTCTCGGTTCTGCCTCTCTCTCTGTTGGCGTCATTCCTCAGGCTGGTTGGGTGCGGATGGTTGCAGCAGTTCCGACCCCCACATCTGACGCTGGTAGCTTTCAGAGGAAGAGGAGTGGGTTGCCTCCAGGAACTTCCCAAGAACCCGGCGGAGTGTTCTCAGAAGCCCTCAGCTGTCTGTGCTCAGTGGCTTAAGTAGGGGCCTAGGCCCATTGCTGACTCAGCCATTGGTGAGGTGTGGCCTAGCTCTGCAGGGCTCCAGCCAGGCCCACCTGTGGGTTCAGCTGCCTCTGGGCTGAGTCCCCACCCACAGGGCTGCTGCAGGGAGGTGTGAATACTTCGCAAAGCTGGGATTCTGCTAGAAAGATGCACCAAACACCTCTGAGGATGGTCTTGTGGCTTCCCTGTCAACCCCATTCAGCATGTCGGTAAAGCTACAAGATTTCCCGACGTTGAACCGTCCCTCCTTCATTCTTTACGTGTATTATTCTTTGACTATCCTGCTGCCGTGCTTTGATCTCCTAAGGTTTTACTTTGGATCTTTTTGTCTGTATTCGGAAGTGAGATTTGTCTGTGCTACAAAAGTCTTTCTAAGAATGGAAGGGACGTAGTGGAAAGACCCTGGTATTGAAGGTTGCTTAGCTCCTGTGTGACCTTGGTCAAGTCACTTAACCTCTCTGAGACTATTTCTTTCATACACAATAGCAATCACAGCCCTAAGTAACACAAGCTTGTTTTGAGGATCAAATGAGGTAAGACGTATGAAAGCTCTCTTTTAACACCAAAGCTTGAGCAGAGTTAGAGCCTTGTCTCATTATGTAGATTCAGGATTTTTGAATTTTTGTGAATTTCTTCCAGTGAGGAGAGAGGTTCAGAGAACGTTAACAAATAAGTTTCCTCTCAGCTTTTCCTCATAAACCATAATCAGAAAACCAGAGTTATGCTGAGGGAGAGGCACTGGGAACATGGTTGGTAAACATTACATTATTGGTGTTCAGATATGAGGTTCCTGCTTTTCATAATATCCTTAGGGTACTGGGGAAGATTTGATATTTTCTGAGATTGCTGTAAAATGCAAGTTATTGCTGCGACTGTCGCCCAATTATTCTGTACTTATTTTACTTAGACTTTAGTAATTGGAAAAAGATTAGATGTCAGGACTTTGTATTTTGTTGATTACATTAGCAAAGTCTTCTCTTTAATCATTTCTTTTATTCCTGTTATTAATCATTAGCTCCAAGCTGTTAGGAGAAGAACCTAATGGTAGATTCCTAACTTAAAGGAAAGAAATAATTACTTGAGTTTCCGTGGGATTGGGCAAGTGTTGCTATACCTAGACATTGAAATAGATTCTCCCGCCCTTCAGGGCATGGGAATGAGACACTCAAGGAGACGCAGAAGGTCGATGGAATGCGGGGCCCACATCCTTACCCCTCTGCCTCGATGCTTGTCCTTCCCTGCCCTTGGAGGTGCTGGACCTTGCTCCAGGACCCCTCTGCCTCTGGCCAGCCCCTCCCATCTTGTGATTTTTTCTACTTGTAGGTATTTGTAAAGCCTCATTGACTTGTGTTAGACTACCTTGAAGACTTTGTCTGTGTAGAATATGGCCACTTCCTTAATTAATGGTGTATAAAGACAAACTTATCTCCATGAAACGATTTCTTTCAAAACCAGTAGTGAGAAAAAACCATATCATATAGGTATGCTTAAATAGTAAATGGAAAGTGAGATGGATGAAAGAAAGGAAAACCAATTAACATGATCAGGTTGGGGTAAAAGCCTTCAGGAGAGAGAGGGAGGTGGGAGGGAGAGAGAGAAGGAGGTGGGAGGGAGAGAGAGAAGGAGGTGGGAGGGAGAGAGAGAGAAGGAGGTGGGAGGGAGAGAGAGAGAGGAGGTGGGAGGGAGAGAGAGAAGGAGGTGGGAGGGAGAGAGAGAGAGGAGGTGGGAGGGAGAGAGAGAGAGAAGGAGGTGGGAGGGAGAGAGAGAGAGAAGGAGGTGGGAGGGAGAGAGAGAGAGAAGGAGGTGGGAGGGAGAGAGAGAGAGAAGGAGGTGGGAGGGAGAGAGAGAGAGAGGAGGTGGGAGGGAGAGAGAGAGAAGGAGGGGGGAGGGAGAGAGAGAGAGAAGGAGGTGGGAGGGAGAGAGAAGGAGGTGGAAGGGAGAGAGAGAAGGAGGTGGGAGGGAGAGAGAGAGAGAAGGAGGTGGGAGGCAGAGAGAGAGAAGGAGGTGGGAGGCAGAGAGAGAGGAGGAGGTGGGAGTGAAGGAGGCTGGTGTTCTCTGGACTTCCCTGGTTGAAGGAGGGAAGGGGTCATGGGGCCTCACCTGTCCCATGGTAGCTGCAGGGACACTGGGGATGCCTTTTGCAGACATGTACTCGGATTCTGTTGTAAACAGGTAACCTGGAGCTTGGTTTGAGTGGAATGGTCACTTACCTTCTCTGAGATAGTGAAATCAGTCGGTATCTGAAATGTTGATCATTTAGTTTAATTTGTTGATGGGGCTCATTGCCTCCTAATAAAACAGGTGGAATGTGTTAAAGCACTGGGGGGGTTTGCTACCCTTTTGTAAATCTTATTTCTCTTTGTCTCTTTTTTCGTCAACAGAGGAATTACGGAAGTTGAGCTGGTCCGGAATCCCTAAGCCAGTGCGTCCAATGACGTGGAAGCTCCTCTCAGTAAGTCCCACCGCCCCGCCCATCAGCGCCTCCTTCCTGTGCACAGGGACTGCGGGCGTCTGGCCTGAGTAGGGCCTGACAGCCACTGCCCACGGGTTTGCCCTGGCTTTGGGTTGCAGTGATAAAGGCCTTTGCTATGGCTAAACTGACATTTTCCATTCTTTGCTTAATTTTAAGCTTGGTTTGACAGGACTGGCAGAAAACAAGGATAGATCATAATTACGACAACGGTATTTTTTCCTCGGATTTTATTATTAGAAAATCTTTGTATGTTCCAGCCTGTGATATAGAAAGGTTTCAGCATAGATGCTTATTTCAACTCTGAGGAGTTGCAACAGGGAAATATGTTTTCAGTTTGTTTGAGATATGCTGAAAACAAGGACATGTGTTTGACCAAGTTTTTTTTTTTTTTTGTAAGTATTAGTAGTGTTGTTAGGAAAAGAAAAAAGTGGATGAGAGAAGCGGTTTGTGTTTCTTGGGTGGAGTGTGGCGTTCCGGCTGCCTCAGCTCTAGCGCTGAGCTGCCTGTCTGGAGCGCTTTGGGAAAGGTTGGGGTAGGCGGTGGTGACCATCAGCACGCCCTCGTACTCTTAGCTCGGGCTTACCATTGCAAGTGAGTTTGGCCCTGCCGACCATTTCAGAACTGGTTATAGACAGTTTTCTTCTCTTTTCCTTTTTCATTATTTTTGGAGCTAAGTCAATAGTGTGCTCTAAGTGTTTACTCTAAATTGGGTCTGACTTTTAGTATTTAAAAGACTCTTCCTGGCTAATGAGTCTTAATAAATTTGCAACTTAGTACCTCGTAATCCTAAATGCAGATGCGGCTCTGAACAGTGAATATTTATTGATTAAATATTCCTTGCAATTAAAATTAGACTTGCTGCGATTGCTTACGTTTTGGTTTTGTGCTTTTATATTTTAACCTAGTTTTCCAGTTTATATCCAGTTTTCTAAATGTCCCCTCAGATAGGTTGCAAACTTCTCAGGTTAGTTTGTAGGAAGTTTTGATGAAAATACCGAACTGCAGTTTTCTGTTTGTTAAGGATGTGCCGTGTCTAGGTGGAAAGTCTCACGTGAGTTATTTTGTACTGTTCTTTCTCTTCTAGTTCTCAGCCTCCGCGGGTTATGGTTCCACTTCCCTAATGTGTGTAGCATAGGGGCTGACGTGGAAATGGACACTCTGGTTTCAGGGGACAGAGGAGCAGAGAGGGAGGTGACAGACAGCCCCACTTTGCTGGTTGTGGACAGGAGGGCAGGTGGGTGTAGGCGGAGTCTGAGCCAGGAATCCTGGCGAGGCAAGCCAGAGTGTGAACCCAGGAAATCTGAGACGGTCTCAGTTGATTTAGAAAGTTTGTCTTGCCAAGGTTGAGGGCGCACTGGTGACACAGCCTCAGGAGGTCCTGGCAACACATGCCCAAGGTGGTCAGGGCACAGCTTGGTTTTATACACTTAGGGAGACATGAGACATTGATCAAAACATGTAAAAAGTGGCCAGGGAGCTTCCAGGTCACAGATAGGTGATCCACGAATGCTTACATTCTTTTGAATTTCTTTTTTTTTTTTTTTTGTGAGACGGAGTCTCGCTCTGTCGCCCAGGCTGGAGTGCCCAGGCTGGAGTGCAGTGGCGGGATCTCGGCTCACTGCAAGCTCCGCCTCCCGGGTTCACGCCATTCTCCTGCCTCAGCCTCCCGAGTAGCTGGGACTACAGGCGCCGCCCCCTCGCCCGGCTAGTTTTTTGTATTTTTTAGTAGAGACGGGGTTTCACCGTGTTAGCCAGGATGGTCTTGATCTCCTGACCTCGTGATCCGCCCGTCTCGGCCTCCCAAAGTGCTGGGATTACAGGCTTGAGCCACCGCGCCCGGCCGGCTCTTTTGAGTTTCTGATGAACCTTTCGAATGGAAGCCAGTCAGATGTGCGTCTGTCTCAGTGAACAGAGGAGTGACTTTGAAGAGAATGGGAGGCAGGTTTGCCCTGAGCGGTTGCCAGCTTGAGTTTTTTAGTGATGTTGGGGGCCCAAGTATTTTCCTTTCATAAGAGAAAGCCTGAGCATTCTCAGGGCTTTGTCATATGAAAGGAAAGACACATGCAGTCCTTTAACCATCGTTCCTTGCAGGGTCCTTTGCTTGGGAGATGGAGATGAATTAGACACTAGCCTGCCATTAGGAGGAGGTCGGGTGCTGCAGACTTGTGGTGGGACGGTGGTGGTGGAGGCCGGGACTACATACTGTAGGTTGGACAGGACACAAGTATGAACCAGGGGGTGGAGGAGTACCACAGCATGGGGGCAGTTTAGTGCTGAGGGTCAGCTTCTGCTAGGAGGGGACTTCACACCTGGGATCTGCCAGGCCATGGCAGGTGGGGAAGGAGGGGAGGGTGTGGAGACTTGCAGTCACAAGGCACAGGGGTGAACATGGTCGTTCTTGGCCCTCTCTGGGCTTGGATTGACAGATGAGTAGAAAATGAATGTTAGGTCAGGGAGCAAAGCTTGTCCTTGCAAGTGCAGGGTGCTAAGAAGGGTTCATGAGGATGCCAGGTAAGTCTTCTTGGGGAAGGTGGCATCTTATGTGACATCTCAAAAGGGATGTTAGTGTTCTCTCTGCTAGTGGGAAGTGGGGAGGCCATAAGAGCTGGGGCACACAGTCGGGGTGGGACAAGCAGGAACATAGGCTGGGGTAGAGGGGCCCAAGAGGAGGCCAGGTGACAGGCGCCCTACTGCCCTCCCTATCGCCCCATTGCTTGGGTTTTATCCTGAAGGATTTAAGTGGGGAGTAGTGAGCCTGTGTTTCTGGAAGAGAAAAGCCTTGAAAGAGCCATTGGTTGGTTCATTCATTCATCCATTCTATTCATCCATCCTATTCATCCATTCCATTCATCCATTGCATTCATCCATTCATTCATCCATTATCATTTATTGAGCACTTTGTGTTTTAGGCACTGTGTCGGGTGCTGGGAAATAGCAGGCAGGGAAGAAGACCAAGTTGTCCCCCTGGGACCTGCAGAACAGACGGTAGATGGTCTGTCTTTTTCTCTTACCCTCTCCAGCCCCAAGAGACCTAGGCCACATGGAGACAGAGCCCGTTCTCTCAGGATCTTATTCCCATGCTCCCAGTGCACTGCTGCCCTGTGTCTGTCCCTGGCTGAGCGCTTGCCCTGCATCAGACCATGCATTCAGAGGTTCTTTTGGACAGGCGTGTAGGCAGGCAACTCCGGGACCAGGCTGTTCTTGCCCAGTGTCTGGCTTGGAGGAGCATTGCTGGTTGTAAGGGGAGGCTGTTCCTGGCAGGCTCTTGGGAGGGGGCTAGAGCTGGGACAGGAAGAACTGGGAAGCGACAGGGAAGGGAGTTGAGGGGCCAAAGGCTACAGGGGTGGGGTAAGAGGGCTCTTGCAACTAGAGTAGGGAGCAAGCGTTGGTTCTTTTTCCGGAAACAAGTGCTCGCTGTGCATTTGCCACGGTCCGTGCCCTGTGTTGGTGAGCACTGATGCCATCCAGCTTGTTGGTGAGCACTGATGCCATCCAGCTCTCCAGGCTGTCATGCTGCACCATGGCTCTGGGCCTTCTGTAAGAGTAGAGATTTGGGGAGCACAGTGCATGATGCCAGTCACCCATCCCCGAGTCAGCACATGTTGCTCACACATCTGCCCTCAACCAGGCCCTCTGCAGGTGCTGGGGTTACAAGAACATCTGGGACAATGGTGGGGACTGGGAACTCAGCAGGGAAGGGGTCTCCCCAATCAAGGATGCCTCTGTATCATTCCCTGAATCCCAGGGTTTAACCCTGGCTTCCCGTTCAACTCTCCTGGGAGCTTTTCCCGATCCTTGTGTCCAGGCCCATGAAGCAAATTGAATCTCTAGGGTGGACTCAGGCGCCAGGGTGTTGACTGACTCCGGCATGCTGCGAACCACGCAGTCCACAGAGTGCCACCCTGCGGCTAGGCGGGGGATGGGAGGCGAGGGTGCGGGAGGTTCAGGCCTGCCCTCTTCACCTGTGGGTTTCCATTCTGGTCACATGTTAGTATCACCTGGGGAGCTCAGGAAATCCTGTTACCTGGGTTCTTGGGGGTTCTCACGGGTGCCCAGGGTTGGAGACGGCTGCTCTAGGACACTCAGGCTCCAGTGGGACAGGGTGGGGCATACATGAGCCACCTGGGAAGCAGGTCATTGAAAGTCATGCGCTATGCCTGCCACTGCAGGCAGCACACACCTGGGCTGAGGAACCTGGGCAGGAGGGCCCGCCTGGGGCGTTGGAGGCCCGCGTGGGAGGAGAAAGGCTGAGTGAGACTCGCTGAGAGCCATGAGCATGTCGTCTGGGAGGGCTCGGGTGAGTAGGGTAAGATGGGAGGGGTTTATCCCAGTCCGAGAGTCCATCCAGGATCCAGAGGTTAACAGTTACACCCAGAATTGAAAACTTATCATTTGTCCAGCTTAAAAAGGCAGATAACCAAAACTGTGCTTGAATGGGAACCTATTTCAGGGTCTGGCACACTAATGACTCTTTTTCATTGTGTTTATGATTTGTAATTAACATGATTCTAGTAGCCTTATTTTTAATTGATGAGTGGGCAGTGCCACTTCAATGAAGAACGATGAGAAACATGACTTGTCTTTTGTAAAAAACTAACATCTAGTCTAGAACATACCGTTCAGCCACAGGTAATACTACTTAATGTTTACATTTTATGCAAGCAGGGTAGTAACTTTTAAAAATTACTGCTACCGAGAATCACATTTCTGGCTTTTTTAAAATAAGTATTTCAGAAACATGACACAAAAACTAATTAAACATTGAACATTTGCATTAGTGAGTCTAATGGTTAAAAATGATGAGTGAAGCTCCAGTATTATCTTTTCTTTCTGCAGTATGTTGAGGTAGGTTTGCATATGAACACAGTGGGAGGGAACAATTTGATTTTGGTGTCACCGGGACAATTTAGATATAAGTATGTGCATGCATTGTTTTACATTTATGATTAGTGTTTGTATAGCATGCTAATACAGCAATT